TGCCAGATTTTTCTGGTGTATAAGACCAATATGTTGCCTGGAGACCGACAGTGCCTTCGTTGGCAGCACTTCGCACTACCAAGCATTACCAATCATTAAGAGAAAGATCACACGAACAGCTGGAGATTTGCTCGTATCCTATAATAAAGTACTAAATCTTGGCTAGAATAGACTACATCTATTCCGACAAAACATCTTTATGCCTACTGAGGCAAAACTTGGACATGGTCAGACAAGTTGATATGACTCTCATACAGTACTATGACGAGGTCGAAAAAAGACTGACTCTAGTTATTTGTTAGTCATTGTTGTAATGTCACACTAACAAGAAAACGCCTATGTGTTCAATTCTGAGGTTAGGGCCGACGCTTTACACACATTTAGTTCCGGTCTGTGGAAACAACTTAGAGCTATTATAGTCCCGGCACAACCCAATGACTTGACTTCCGCACTAGCTCTGGCCATAGAGGCGTAAGCTACCATCGAAAGAAGCGTGTTTAATAATTCGTACGCTAAAGTCATTGAAGAGCGAACGCAATCAGCTGAAAATAGCAAAAACCTAGGAGAAACAATAGGGAAGACCACGGCCAGGAGAGAAACACACATTACAAGCGCAAGACGAAGGCTCCACTGGACCAACCTAACAAAGACACACGAGCGAAAGCTCTGCAGCCGATGAAGGCTCCACTGGACCAACCTAACAAAGACACACGAGCGAAAGCTCTGCAGCCGATGGAGGTAGATGCTACTTCCAATTTCAGACAGCGTACAAATCACAATCAGTACCATTAAAATTAATCAAACGCCCCCAAGAGGACAAAATCCTCAGACCGCCAAACAAGCCTATGACTACAACGTCTTAACAATATTGTTCAGAAAGACACTGAAGAAAAAATGGCAGCGTACGAAAAGGCAGCAAAGACCGCAGTTGAAGAAATCGACCACACAATACGACTCTGTCAATTTTTTAGGGAGTGTTCCCGGTTGCTGTTCATTAAACGTCGGCTGGCTGGGAGAACATTAAAAATTCTAATTGACACTGGCGCGACAATAAATTAGGTTAAGCTCTTAAAAAGCTAAAAGCCATACAGCCGGCCGCTTAGACCTTCTCGGTGAATTCTATCCACGGATCCTATGAAATTAAGCAAAAATGCATAATGAACATTTTCAAGCTCACTTCCCAATTCTTCCTTCTAAACACTCTCAGCTCGTTTGATGTTATAATAGGATTCGAATTGTTAACACAAGCCGGAGTAACGTTGAACCTAGAGAGCTCTCTAGAATATCAGGGCATATCTGAAAAATTCAATACCGGAGATGCACCGACGTAAATTTCACCTATGTAAACGACATTGCGGTTCTTGACTCCATTACAAAGGAGTTCAGAAACATGATCCTTAAAAGGAAAAAGGCCTTCTTAAGAGCAGTAAACGATCTCCGTTTTAACACCTCGGTCTCCGCCACGATTCGCACGGTAGACAACGAACCTGTATATGCCAGATCTTACCCTAATCTAATGGGCGTTACAGACTTCGTAAACAGCGAAGTCAAGCAATTGTTGAAAGACGGCATCATCATACCATCAAGGACACCTTACAAGAGCCAACGTGGGATGTCGACAAAAAGGCGCAGATGCCTATGGTAACACAAAAAGAGATTGGTCATTGACTTCAGGAAGCTAAACGAAAAAACCAATACCTGATCGTTACCCAATGCCTAGTATTCCATTGATTCTAGCAAATCTGGGAAGCACTAAGTTTTTCACGACCCTCGACCTAAAGTCTGGGTACCACCAAATATATCTTGCGGGACATGACCGCGAAAAGACGTCATTCTCCGTTTGCGGCGGCAAATATGAATTCTGCCGTATAAGATGCTAGCGTCTTCCAAAGGGCAATTGATGATGTTCTCAGGAAACATATTGGGAAAATATGTTACGTCTATGTAGATGACGTCAAAGCCTTCTCAAGAAATGAATCACACCATATCAACCACATCGACAGATTTCGGATCCTTTCTGGGTCTGACAAGCTTCTTCACAGTCTTCATAAAAGACTTTGCAGCTATAGCTCGACTAATAACAGATATTCTAAAAGGAATGAACGGCTCAGTGAGTAAGCATAAGTCCAATAATGTTGCGGTCGATTTCATTGAAACCCAGCTCAACGCATTTGAAGACGTAATTCTCATTCTCGGCCAACAGAATCAATACGGTACTATGACAAGAAGGTAGGCCTACGGACCACCAACCTCTCCCATTTGAGGTAGCGGAAAGCCTACATTGAACAACACAATACCAAGGTTTGTTATAACCGGTAAAGAAATCTTTGTTGCTGATGCCCTATCCAGACAAAATCTCAATGCCCTACAAACCGAGCTTCAATCAATTGCCGTTACTGTAACCTGCCCACATTGGCAAGTTTGCCGAGAAGTGGTCAGAAGCTGCAGGGTTTGCACTCGAGCAAAACAAGAAAGACATCCCAAAAAAAAAAGCTCGCCGAATCAGCCATTCCATGCTATACTGGCGAGATGCAACACATAGACATCTTCACAACCGACAAGAAACAGTTCCTAACTTGCATAGACAAGTTCTTCAACTTCGCCTTTGTACCACCGGTAATATACAGAAAAATTGTCGATTTAAAAGACCCATTGTTGCAATTGTAAATTTGTTTCCTAACATTAAAACAATATTTTGTGACAATAAATCTGACAGGCAATGTATGTAATGATGTAATGCAACCAAATAAAACCGCATATTCGAAGTAAGGGAAAAGGTATTCCTCAAAAAACAATAAGTTAGGAAAGAAGATAAACACTCTTTGAAATAAGCAAACAATACAAGCAGACATGTCTTTGTTTGGTTTATAAAAGTAAGTATATGAAACCAATTCGTTCCGTGATTTATTTTGTGAAAGTTTTTTTTTTATTTACTACCAAAATAAAGTTACAGAACAGCAATTACATAATAGATGTGCGTTTTAGCACCGAAATAGTGCCTGGAGTCACTTTTGGGCTTAACGCCAACTTTTATTGCCAGCTTCTATTTCACTGCTGATTGCAATTTTTACGTTGGTTTTTGGTTATTGTGTAATTTTTTTACTAGAAATTAAAATAGTGAAAGAATGAATCCGAATTTTCTGACTAACAGCTGCTGGAACTGATTGAGTCAGTCCCATCGGATGAGGGAGTCTCATGACCATCAAGTGACGATGAGGGCGGAGACTTAAATGTGGTATAAGCTCTGACCACTGCAATAGAGGATGCAGACACTTTTACGTTTTGTGATCCAGTATATGCCTAATAAACCAGACAAATGTGAGATTAAGTTATTTGTCTTATGTGATTCTTTTGTTTATGCAAGTTTATGTTTATGAGATCTACAGCGGTGCAGGTTAAATCGTGATCCTTCCTGGTTACCCCGATCTTGGTGCTGCGGCCAACATTGTTGTACGTTTAACAAAAATCGTACCAAGTTTCAATCACCACATTGCTTACATTGACAATTTTTATACGCCTCTGCCTTTGATGGTATATTTGAGAGCTGAAGGCACTTATAGCTTTAGAACAGGGCAATTGTAAGCTGCCATAGCAAGCATCGGTAATCTGACGTTCCTTATGCCAAAGTGCAAAGTGCAAAGTGTTTTAGGATGCTGATGCGCCAGATCGCTGGTCAATGCTCTGCCCTGACGACAGTAAACAGCGGTAGTCTGACATGTGTTTTGCCGAAATGTTGTTATAATGCCAAATCGGCGTGCCGATTACAGCTTGATGCTTGATGCCTGGTGCATTTGAGTTTAGGGCAGAATTGCGATTTGCCTTTGTATTTAAATTAGTTCGATTTACAATTAGGTGAAGAAGTCTCTAAGTTGCACTCAATAAAGTGAAGAAAATAAGTTTCTAAATTGTACTACGGCAACAGGCGCAACAATCATTAATTTATCTCAATATTGCTGAGCCACAAGGTGAGCCAATGATCAATCAAGGGAACGAAGTCAAGTCCTCCATCATAATCATCCTAATTAGATTAGTAATCCCCAACTAGGAGGGCCAGGGCGGGACCAACGACCTCCCCATACCTCGACTAGATTGGGAACACGTCATCAGGAGTCATCGCTGGACCATCACCGACAGTAGACTTAAATATCTTACATATTATATTGGTAGAAATGCAAACTCCTTTAGTTATTGGCCATATTTTCAACTAATCTAAAATTTAATGAATTTGGAAAAATTTGGAACAGGTATCCAAAATCCAAAAAAATCAGAATTAAATGAAATGTACATAAACTAAATACAAAATTTGGAGGCTTTAGCTCTTAAGACGTACGAAATATTATTTATTAATCAATAATATTATTATATATATCAACGCGTTCACACACGGACATACAGACAGACGGCCAGGGCTCAATCTACTCGGCTTGTCGTCCTGATGAAGAATATATATATATTTTATGGGGTCTGCCACGCCTCCTTCTGCTTATTACATACATTTGTACAAAAACCATTATACACTGATTTCCCATTTTCAATGAGATCAGGGTATAATTGCTCGAGTTAATATTTTATTCAACTCTCATTTATTTTTTAGGTTTTCTAAATGTATATTTTTAATTTACGTATTATTCTCGAACAGTTACTTACGTGTTCTTTCTTTGGTATTCTTTGCCTAAGAAAAAAAATACTATTTGGCGCCAATAATTTATTTTTGCTTTTTCGTAAAGTAATGTACGTATACCTTCTTGTCATCTTACTAGCAATGATGGTAAAAATGGGGTTTGTAACGAGTGTTATTATGTCGATAACATTAATTTCGTTAGTAACGTATTGTAGATAATTAATCATTAAATACATCTTGTGTCACATTGTCGATATTACGTTTAATTATAAAATATTTTGTTTATGAAAGTGATATAAAAAATAAAAAACAGAGTGAGCTTTGACATACTAGGAAGAAAATATGGCCCTTAATGATAGGCACACCCCATATGGTCATTTTCAATTCGACCAGCATCCAAATTGTATCAACAAAATTTAAAATTTTTTTTATTAAAATCAAAACAAACTTATTTCAATTTTAAGTCATAATGTGTTCTCCCTGCGGACCGTGTAGCCCATGTGATCCTTGCTGTGGACCTTTTGAGTGCTCTCCAAAGTGTTATAATGCTGCTCAATTGGAGGCGTTACCGCAATGTGCGCCCCGCATACCGCCGCCATTTCCGAAGTGCATTACTGTGCAGCAGCCGCCGAGGCTAATATGTAAAAAGCGTGTAGTTTTTACGGAGAAAATTGTGCCTGAGCCAATGGTGGTAAATCGGTGTCGTCAAATCACTGTCCCGAAAGTGGTAGATGCGACTCGGGTAATTAAGGTTCCAAAACTCATTTGGGTATCTCAAATGGTTCGCGAGCCTCGCGTTATATATTATCCGTCTATGATACCTGATCCCTATGTAGTCTGTTATCCGAAACGAGTTTGCGAACCCAGGGAAGTCTGTCAGTCAATATTGTGCCAACCAAAACCACAAACAATCGATATACCACCTCCTCGGGAATATTGTTGCTACCCGAACGGACCAATTAACTACAAACCAAGTGCCGCGTGTCCGCCATGCCCAATTGGACCGTGTGCTCCTGGGGGCGCCTGTTGCCCACTTCCTTGTTTCTCTACGAATCAATATCCAGTATGCGAGACTCGTTGTGGGCCGTGTGGCCCATGTGGACCGGGTCGATGTGGACCCTGTGGACCTGGGCGATGTGGACCCTGTGGTGGACCATGTGGTGGCCCATGTGGACCCTGTGGAGGAACTTGCGCTGTACCTAATTGTGGGCCATGTGGGTTGACAATGCCTTCAGGTCCTTTTATACCCGCACCTTGTGGTCCGTGTGGAACAGGTTGTGGGCCTTTGGGAAATGGGCCTTGCGGTCCTTGCGGCCCGTGTGGGCCTTGTTCACCACCGTGCCCCTACGAATCACCAGAGTGTGGGCCCTGCTATCCTTGTGCGCCGACGCCATGGAACACACATTGTGGGCCAGTTGGGCCATGCGGTCCTCAAGTTCCCTGTGGTCCTTGTGGTCCTTGTTAAATTTCAAATTTAAATGGAAATACTAAATTGATATTGTTGGCCCGTAAATAAAACTTCTGCATGAATATGCCCTTGCATTACGTAAAATCGCCGTAGATCCTGCGAAGGTCCTGGAGCGTAATATGCTCGTGCATCCTTCAATTATTTCTGTTAATCCATTAAATCGTGTCCAAGGCACTTTTGTATCGAATCTTCGATTTACTCTGCGTTTAAACCATTTCTGCATGCTCTCTAGCATTATATATGTCGGAAATTTTCTTGGTGCTTTCAGCTTCGAAAGGTGCTCCTGATATGATTGGCAATTCCTTCCTTGATAATTTGATTATTACAAAGAAACAAATCAGTGGGACATCAACACAAATAAGAAGGAAAAATGTTTTTGTTACATAAATTTGCACCAAACCATTATACTGATTTCCCATTTTTAATGGGATCAACGTATACCATTTGGCCAATCTTTACAGACATGTGAAATAAGAGACAAGACCAAGGATTTTCCTATACATTCAAATGCATGCATTCTTTTATATTCGAACAATCGCAATTGCTATTGAATTGTTTGAATTGCCAACTATTAATTTACTTTAGTTCTAAAGCTTACCGCAGAAGTCGTGCCGAGGCTGTGTTGGCGAGAATTTCTGTATCTTAATGATCGATATTAGCTATGAAGTTCAAAAGCAGCTAATAATTCAGCACAATTCAATTAAAATTTTAATTCTACGAATAAAAAAATACACGCCTTTGAATGTATGTGTGCACACGCATAGGAAAAATGCGTGCGCGTGGCCTTGCTGACATGTGCTTTTTCAAATTGACCAAACGTTTTGTTTAATAACTTCTGTTTTACTTAATGGATTTTAATGAAATTTTCAGCATATGATCTACATATCCTATTGGCTTGGTTGAGATACAATCGCCTTCACATAATGGCCCAAGTTCCAACTAAAATTAAATTTTAAGAATCCAATAAAAATCAAAATTGCATAAAATATACATAAAACTAAAAACAAAATTCGGAGGTTCTAGCCCTTAAGACGTTCGAGATATAATTTATATACTGCATTTCAATAATGTTTTTATTCTATGTATAATAAATGCGAATAGTTATCGAATATTTGAAACAAACTTGACTTTCGCGTGCTATACACGGACCTACAAAAAGTCTATAGCTCTTATAGATGCTGAGATCGATGCCTCCACACATACCGAAACACGGACAGACGGACAGGCGATCAGACAGACAGACGGACAGGACTCAATCGTTTCGGCTTTTCGTCCTGATCAAGAATATATATACTGTTTGTGGTCTACCAGGACTCCCTCTTTCTTTTTTTGCTTTTGAACAAATTACGCCTTAAAATTTGAAGACTGTGAAGAAGCTTGCCAGACCCAGAAAGGATGCGACATCTGTCGATGTGGTTGACATTGTGTGATTCATTTTTATACCCAGATCCTATTAAAAATGGGAAATCAGGGTATAATGGTGTTGTGCAAATGTATGTAACAGGCAGTAGGAGGCGTGGCAGACCCCATAAAATATATATATTCTTGATCAGGACGTCAAGCCGAGTCGATTGAGCCCTGTCCGTCTGTCTGTCTGTCCGTCTGTCCGTCTGTCCGTCTGTCCCTCCGTCCGTCTGTCCGTATGTGTGAACGCGTGGATCTCAGCATCTATAAGAGCTAGAGACTTGAAATTTTTTTGTAGATCCGTGTATAGCACGCGCATATCGAGTTTGTTTCAAATATCCGATAAAAACATGATGGAAATGCAATTAATAAATTATATCACGGGCGTCTTAAGAGCTAGAGCTTCCAAATTTTGTATTTAGTTTTATGTATATTTTATGTAATTTTGGTTTTTGTTAGATTTTGGATACTGGCTCCAAATTTCCCCAAATTCTTTAAATTTAAGTTTAGTTGGAGCTGGGGCCATTATGTGAAAGCGTTTGCATCTCAACCAAGCCAATAGGATATGTAGATCATATGCTGAAAATTTCATTAAAATCCATTAAGTAAAACAGAAGTTATTAAACAAAACGTTTGGTCAATTTGAAAAAGCACATGTCAGCAGCGCCACGCGCACGCATTTTTCCTATGCGTGTGCACACATACATTCAAATGCGTGTATTCTTTTCTATTCCAAGAATTGAAATTGCGTTTGAATTGTGCTGAATTATAAGCTGCTGCTTATGTTCAAATTTGCAATTGATAGTGCAAGTATTGCAGTGGCTGCGTTGGTAGAGGCGGCGCACGTTTGCGGCTCGGTCCAGGGTTTGATACCGGTGGAGATGAAACATTTTTTATTGTTTTATTTTTTTTTAAATATGAAGTGGCGGTGTTCGTAGAGTTGGTGCACGTTGCACAAATAATCCGGGTTCGAAACCTGGTCTCCCAATGTCGTTCTTTATTTGTTTTCTTTTTTTTTTTTGAATACTCGATGCAAACTACGGAAAATATTAAAAAGCTCAAAGAGGACTGGGATCAGGGTATCTCCAAGTCGGGCACCCCGACTAGAGCTTTTTTACTTGTTAATATTTTCAATATTTTCAACAAACAAAAACCGACATTACGGCACCACTGATTCGAACCAACGTAACCTATTCAACACGCATCAACTCTACCAATACTGATACTTTATAATTAAAATATAAAAAAGAACAAACGAACCTAAATCTTGTCGGCAACGGTTGCCGCCTCTACCAACGCCGCAACTGGACCGCTTGTACAAGGAGTTGCGAGTTTGAACATAAGTTGCACCTGATAATTCAATCACTATTCAATTGGATTTTCAATTCTTTGAATAGAATGTATACTCGCATTAATAACTTGTTTTACTTAATGGTTTTTAATGCAATATGATCTACAAGTTAACAAATAACAACATTAATAGCATAGCAAATAAGTAGCTTCACGTAACAATGCAGATGCGCCAAAGCGCGGGTTCAATGTCCTGTGCTGACGACAGCAAGCATCGGTAATCTGAAGCTTCTTATGCCGAAGTGCTATACCGTTTAGTATGCTGATGATCCAAATCTGGGGTCAATGCTCTGCGCTGACGACAATAAGCAGCGGTAATCTGACATGTCTTATGACGAAGTGCTGTACTGTATAGAATGCCGAATCGCCGTGCCGATTGCAGCTCAATGCGTGATGCCTTTATACTTAAATTAGTTCGATTTACAATAAGGTAAAGACAAGAAGTCTCTAAGTTGCTCTCAATAAAGTGCAGACAGGAAGTCTCTATACATGTGTTGTTAAGATACTTAATTTGGTTGTACAGGTTCTACACTTAATAAAAAATAAGAAAGAGCAAGTAGGCAACACCATGTACCATTCTCAAATCCAAGCCAGCATTGACAATTCCGTCAGACAGGCACTGCCTCAACAGCAAGCCCAGATACAGGCCCAAATAACCTCCCTTACCGACCGAGTACAGAGTCTACAGGTGCAAACATCACAAATTGTCACCTACCCAAAAGTGTCTGTTATCCCAGATGTCAGAAGCGATATACCACTGACATAATAAAATCAGTGCCAGATTTTTCTGGTGCACAAGACCAATATGTTTCCTGGAGACCGACAGTGCCTTCGTTGGCAGCACTTCTCACTACCAAGCATTACCATCATTAAGAGAAAGATCACAAGACCAGCTGGAGATTTGCTCGTATCCTATAATAAAGTACTAAATCTTGGCTAGAATAGAATAGAATCTATTCCGACAAAATGCCTACTGCCTACTGAGGCAAAACTTGGACATGGTCAGACAAGGTGATATGACTTTCATACAGTACTATGACGAGGTCGAAAAAAGACTGACTCTAGTTTTTTGTTAGTCATTGTTGTAATGTCACACGAACAAGAAAACGCCTATGTGTTCAATTCTGAGGTTAGGGCCGACGCCTTAAACACATTTATTTCGGGTCTGTGGAAACAACTTAGAGCTATTGTATTCCCGGCACAACCCACTGTCTTGACTTTCGCACTAGCTCTGTCCATAGAGGCGTAAGCAACTGTCAAAAGAAGCGTGTTTAAAAATTCGTAAAGGTAGATGCATCTTCCAAGTTCAGACAGCGTACAAATTACAATCAGTACCAATAAAATTAATCAAACGCCCCCAAGAGGAGAAACTCCTCAGACCGCCAAAGATTCCTATGACGACAACGTCTTAACAATATTGTTTAGAAAGATACTGAAAAAAAGGGCAGCGTACGAAAAGGCAGCAAAGGCCGCAGTTGAAGAAATCGACAGCCAGGAAGATTACGCTCAATACGACTGTAAATTTTTTAGGGAGTGTTCCCGGATGCCGTTCATCAAACGTTGGCTGGCTGGCAGAAGGTTAAAAATTCTAATTGACACTGGCGCGACAAAAAATTATGTTAAGCCCGTAAAAAAGCTAAAAACCATAAAGCCGATCGCCTATCCCTTCTAGGTGAATTATATCAACGGATCCACTGAAATTAAGCAAAAATGCCTAATGAACATTTTCAAGCTCACTTCCTCATTCTTCCTTCTAAACACTCTCAGCTCGTTTGATTCCATTATAGGATTCGACTTGTTAACGCAAGCCGGAGTAACGTTGAACCTAGAGAGCTCTCTAGGATATCAGTGCATATCTGAAAAAAATAAATACCAGAGATGCACCGACGTAAATTTCACCTATGTAAACGACATTGTTGTTTTTGACTCCATTAAAAAGGAGTTCAGAAAAATGATCCTTAAAAGAAAAAAGGTCTTCTAACGAGCAGAAGAAGACCTCCGTTTTAATACCTCGGTCTCCGCCACGATTCGCACGGTACACAACGAACCTGTATATGCCAGAACTTACCCTAATCTAATGGGCGTTACAGACTTCGTAAACAGCGAAGTCAAGCAATTGTTTACAGACGGCATCATCATACCATCAAGGTCACCTTACAAGAGCTAAAGTGGGTTTTCGCCAAAAAAAGGCGCAGATGCCTATGGTAACACAAAAAAGAGAATGGTCATTGTCTTTAGGAAGCTTAACGAAAAAACCATACCTGATCTTTACCCAATGCCTAGTATTCCCATGATTCTAGCAAACCTG